CAGTCTGGGTGGACGGTCTCGCCGCAGGAGCTGCTGGATGGTGGCTCGAATGCAGCTATCTTCCGGAGACTGTCCGTCCCCCCCCCCCCGCGTCTTCGCTGGTCGCTGACCGGGTTGCTCTGTGTTGAGTTACTCACAAGACAACTCAACACAACACCGTCAAAACTATCATTGTCCCTGTTCATATCGTTCTAATGTAAACAATAAAACGCAACTTGTTTTGTTAATGACACTCTTAAGCTACATCACATCGCCAGACAACGCTGTTCCGGCCATAACTGTGGACACAAACTGTCATCCTTTCCCGGGCACTCTGGTGTTACTGGTAGCTGCCTCGATACATCTAGTAACCACTCGCTGGATAAGTCTGTAGCGGTCGCAGCTGTCGGCTCGGCTCCCTATCCCTGTTTCGGCCGTGACTGTTGATGCTTGCCGACATATCACTTACAGAACAGCCCTGCTCCAGTCGAAGCTGTCTCCATTCTCCATGCATCGCCTCACCACGAGCTGGACACCCTTGCCCCGATCAAAGCCGCCGGCTTAGGCTGACCTACTGCTCCCGGAACAAACCCGTTCAAACTGCCACCGTCTGTACAAATCGACCAATCGCGGCCGGAGTGAGCCAGTGTCCTTGACAGCCCTCGCTGTATCAAAACAGAGCACACCTGCTTACACCACTTAGAGGACTAAGCACGGGGCAGTATCGCCTGTATCGCCGCCGGCCACTGCGCGATATGCACCGACGCGGCGCTCTCCGATTAGCCGCCCCTGTGTTCGGCCGAGCCCTGCACCGCCGCGTTCGGCTGAGCCCTGCCCCGCCACGTTTGGCCGAGCCCTGCCCCGCCGCGTTCGGCCGAGCCCTGCCTTGCCCTGTTTGACCAAGCCCTGCCTCGCCGTGGCCTGCAACGCCGTGTGCCGGTGTTTACCATGGGGGGGGGGGCGGGGGGGGGGGGGGGCAGGCCGTCATGCCAGGCGATACCGGAGGCATTTCTCCCCGATAACGCCGCTGATAGGGAGTTGCGCACCGCGCGACAGCGGCGAGCGCAGGTCGTCTGGGGACGGGGCACTCCTAGCTGGTCTAGGCGGGGGCGGTGTGCTTCCAGGCAAGCTGAAACATGTTATCTCTACTCAGGCTTTGGCAGAATATCCATAACATAACTGCAGACGGCTATCCCTGCAGGCCTGCCGGGGACAGGACGTGGCCAGTCTGGCCGCAGTGGGGTGTCCTGTTCTCAGTCTGGCAGCAGCAGGGTATCCTCAGTCTGACAGCAGCAGGGTATCCTCAGTCTGGCAGCAACAGGGTATCCTCAGTCTGGCAGCAGCAGGGTATCCTCAGTCTGGCAGCAGCAGGGTATCCTCAGTCTGGCAGCAACGGGGTATCCCCGGTCTGATTGGGACAGGGTATCCTCGGTTCGACAGCAGCAGGGTATCCTCAGTCTGGCAGCGGCAGGGTATGCTCAGTCTGGCAGCAGCAGGGTATCCTCAGTGTGGCAGCGACGGGGTATCTCCGGTCTGCTTGGGACAGGATATCCTCGGTTTGACCGCAGCAGGGTATCCTCAGTCTGGCAGCGACGGGTATGCCCAGTCTGACAGCAGCAGGATATCCTCAGTCTGATAGCAGCAAGGTATGATCAGTCTTGCAGCGGCAGGGTATCCTCAGTGTGGCAGCGGCATAGTATCCCCAGCATGGTTGTGGCGGGGTATCGCCCACCTGGATATGGTGGAGCGAATCCGTGCTCACTTGGGCACGGCACCCCGGCCTGGCTGTGACTGAGATGTTTACAGCTCAGCTGGAGTTGTGTACATTCAGCCCAGCTGGACAGTGCTTACTCACACGATGTAACCAATTCCGCCGAAGCAGCAAGCGACCATAGGCTAGGGCTAGAGCACGTCAGTCTCATTCCATCTAAGGTAATAAGTGCGTCCAGGCGGGCTGAGGGAGCAGAGTTTGCCGTCCGCCTGCAACCGTGGTGTTCCCAGGCGCCAGAGCTGGGGAGCACCCCCCCCCCCCTCCCCCCCAGTCCCCTGCAAGAGAGGAGCGCTGTAGCCAGGCTGGAGAGCGCACCCCAGTTCCTTGCGAGAGAGGAGCGCTGTACCGAGGGCTGGAGAGCGCGCCCTAGTCCGTTGCAAGAGAGGAGCGCTGTCAGTCCGAACACGTCCAGCCCAAACCCAGCGAGTGATGATCTGTCCGCTGTCCAGCTTGGATATTAGACTGGGAAGTGGTTTCCAGTGAAGCATTCGGTCTGACCTCATCAGAGCCTCATGACTGTGATCATTCGCCCGAGCTGCCGCGCGGCGCGTGACGTGCTTCCCTCCTCACGCGGACGTCTCGGCCTCTGCCGCCGTGCCCGTCCCTGGAGCCGACCGGCCGCCGTGCGCCGCTCGGCCCCGGCGCCGGTGGCAGGCCGGCGGTACGGCCGGGTGGCGCAGTACCTGAAGTGGCCGGCGGCTATCCCTTCAGCGTCGGCCGGCCGTATCGGCCGATAGCGCGGCGGCGTCGCCGTCCGGCTGAGTCAGGCGCCCCCTGTATCAGTGTGAGGCGCGCAAACAAACGCCCAATCGGCGGCCCAGATACCGTTCCCGAGGGCTAGACAGGTGAGGGTGGACGGGGTGGGAGCGTCCACCGCTACAGCACCCGGCAGTGCACGGCCGGCACCAGCGGTCTTCACCAGCTCGGCGCTGCTTGCCGAAGGCGGGCAGATGGTCAGCCTGGCCGGCGGCTGGCGGGCAGGGGCGGGGGGGGGGGGGGGGCAGGGTGTTGCGCCACGAGTGGGCCGCGCTGGGCTGTGGCTGACAACTATTTGGCGTGTGTTCGGGGAGGGGTGGGGCACGATGCCTGCTGGCGCCCGCGACCTCCGTTGCAGTCAGGGCTTCACTCCGGAGAAGGTCGTCTCGCCATCTCTGCTCAAGATTGCTGCTGGCCGTAAATAAAACTGAATCGTTGCTCGTTTAAACTGGGTGCCGTTCCGATCTGAGCGGGTCGCCGAGGGAGGATTGCTTCTCATGACAACCGCGGCAATGCTTCCTGGCCCTCCTGGGGGATCTCTCCTGGCCATGTGATGAAACTCGCGCTGGTATTCAGAGCGCCTATGCCCCCAGTTGTGCGCACTTCCTATCCCATTGTCCTCTGGACGGCGGCGGGGGCCAATACTCCTGAGGGGGTTCCGGCCGTCGCTCCGTATGTCGCGGACGGAAGCTGATGCCCCGGTACATCCCGTGATCGCTTCCCTCGCCCGTCGGTTGTCCCGTGGTCGCTTCCCTCGTCCGTCGGTTGTCCCGTGATCGCTTCCCTCGTCCGTCAGCCCTCCCGGTGTTGTTACCCTCACCTGTCGGTTGTCTCATAATCGCTTCCCTCATCCGTCGGTCTTCCCGTGGCTGCTTCCCTTTTCAGTCGGTCGTCCCGTGATCGCTTCACTCGTCCGTCGGTTGTGCGTCGTGTGATCGCTTCCCGCATCCGTCGTCCGTCCCGTGATTGCTTCCCTCACCCGTCGATTGTCCGTCGTGTGATCGCTTCCCTCATTCGTCGGTTGTCCATCCTGTGATGAGCAACAGCGATGGGTAGCACTCGAACGTGACTTCGGACTCTTATTCGGACTTCGGATGATGAGCTGTCCACGGCCTTGTTTCAACCTTCTCCGGGGATGGCTAGCGCGTCCGCCGCAGTCCGTCTGGTCCAACACGCACGGCCCCGGCATGCAGAAGCCTCTTGCTCGTTAGAGTGTTGATCAGTGCAGAAGCATCTGCTTATTAGGTGGTTGCTCAAGTGCTCTTTGCGATTTGATTAAAAAATTTCGCGGAACACGACATGAAGGTAGAGGATTATGAACGCCGACCACGTTTCGGTCAGAGCTGTTACCACGGATCCGCCTGACCCGCCGAATACCGTTCCGGGGCCCAGGCGACAGGCAGACACGTGTTGCGCGGGACGCTTGGAACGCATGCTCAACTGGCGCATCACGGCCTAACGCCCGAAGTGCGCCTACTTTGAGCATAAAAATATTACCAATGGCGGCGCCTGTCAGGGCCCCCCCCCCCCTCTCTCTCTCTCTCTCTCTCTCTCGCAATTCGTGGCTTGCGAGCCTATAACCGTGGTGGTTCAGACAGTCTGACCTACTGCCGCCCGTCGGAGATTCCACGCGCTTGCGCGCGAGTGCCTTCGACTGAAATACGCCGTCATGCAGTCCCACTGCCACCGCGCGGGCACGCACGCACGCACGCACGCACGCACGCACGCACGCACGCACGCACGCACGCACGCACGCACGCACGCACACACACACACACACACACACACACACACACACACACACACACACACACACACACACACACACACACACACACACACACACACACACACACACACACACACACACACACACACACGAGCTGCAGCCCCCGGCGCTGTAAACGTACGCCGTTTCCACCCGGCCACCACCGCCGCCCCCGTCGCGCCGGGGGTAAACACTCGTTGCGGCCGGTAAATATTTCCGGCGGCCGGCCTTTGCGGGGCGACGGCGGGCGGCGAGACCGTCTGCCACCTGGTACGGGGGCGTGGAGGCGGGGCGGGGCCGGGGGCGGCCCAGCGGACGGTGGCAGGCAGCAGGCGGGGCGTGGCCGGGGCGGTGGCGGCCCCGCCCCGCCTGCAGATCAGCTGCGGATGGTGACGGGGCCGGCGGTCGTCCCGTCACAGATTGCAGGAACAGTGGCGTGTTGTCTGGGTGGCGATAGTCATGATTTCTTCCGCGAATGGTCACGGCCGGGGCGTACTTCGGAGAGACGTCTCTCAAGGTCGCATGATCATATGTGTAATGTGGTTCTCGATAGTAAGCATGACCCCTCATTTACTGGAAACCGTTTAAGTTTTCTTGTGACCGGATGCAATCTTCAACCAGACTGATGAACAGCCAGTTGTGAATTTACCTCTCGTTGACGCCAAAATATCGATGCGTAGCCGGTCCTTGAGTTTCCGGTGGCTGACGGCGGCTTCCGTTCCCCAGAAGAAGGCCACGGGCCAAGAGCTGCTGCTGAGAGTGACGGAGCACCTGGACCTGCTGGAGCGCGACTACTTCGGCCTGCAGTTCTCCGACCAGCACGACCCCATCAACTGGCTGCAGCTGGACAAGCCGATCAAGAAGCAGCTGAAAAGTGGGTCGCCCTGTCTCGTCTTCCCCAGCAGCACGGGGCGGGGCCTATCATGGCGTTGACTGTGCTGTCTGTGACGTAGAGTTGAGGCGCCCCTTGGTGCAGGAAGCCTACTGTTGTTCTCATTCAATGAACTGCGTCTGTAACAAAGGATATGGTTCCGTGCCGTGAGTCGCTCTGTATGTATTTTCCTCCGTAATGGCTCTAGTGATTCGAGGGCCCATTCCTGGCTAGGTGACTTTCACGCATACAGTTGCTTCGCGTTTGATGCTGACGCTAATTCGATGTTAAGCCCGCGGTCATAGTGCAAACAAAATGTTAGAGAACTAAAAGGCAAGGCATATTTCTGTAAAATAAATTCTGCAGAGCCCGCTTATTGAAAAGGAAGATAGCTGGAGGTCGAATAGCACATTTACATAACTTAACTTTCTTGATTTAAGAGAAAACCATGACGCATGCCAGCTCCACTACGTGGCGCGCCCTCAAATGAAGGATGACATGGATAACGTGGCTGCGAGCAACCTGGCAACCTATGTTGAAATGATCAGCCCTTTATGGAGGGTCTGAAGGTGTAACTGCCGCCCGACACGGGAGCTGCAGCAGTGAAGCAAGTGTCGGTGCGCGCGAGCTTGAGCCGTGCCATCACTGCCCCCGGGCTGAAGCCTTGAAGTGAGCGGGTGTCATGCACTGCCGGCGGCTGCCGCAGACGCGGGCCGGCCGGTTGGCTCTCAGGGGTCCGTCCGTCGAGAGGGCAGCGGCGAGTGCCGCCGACAGCTCTGTCTTTCACGCCTGCTGGCCTGAGGACGGCCAGGGCAGGTGGATGGATGGCTGGCGCTGGTGCCGCGCCGCCGCACACTGGCGCCGGTCTTCAGTCAGCGCCGGCCCGGCGGTGGACGGCGAGCCGGACCGAGCTGTACGGCGGCGCGCGGCCAGCCACCGGGGACGGACAGCGCCGCCGGCCGGGCCGTGACGCGGGCTGGGGCCGGTCTCCGCCGCCCGCTCGCTGTGTGTGTGTGTGTGGTCGGCGCCAGGCTCAGGCCAGGTGTCTGTAGTGACGTACGGCCAGCTGCGGATCCCGGTGGCAATGCGTGTGGGGAGGAGGGCGGGGGGGGGGGCTCTACTGTTGTGCAGCGTGCCGCCGCCCCCCCCCCCCCCCCCCGCCGCCCTGCACCTGTCACTGTTGATGGGCCGTCTGTGAGAACATGGCCGGCCGGTAGTGTGGTCACAGCAGCAGAACCCGTGCCGCCACGAGAGCAAGCGAGTGTCGCCGCGACGGCAGGGCCATGCCGCCGCGACGGCAGGGCCATGCCGCCGCGACGGCAGGGCCATGCCGCCGCGACGACAGGGCCGTGTCGCTGCGACGACTAGGCCATGCCGCCGCGACGGCAGGGCCATGCCGCCGCGACGACAGGGCCGTGTCGCTGCGACGACTAGGCCATGCCGCGACGGCAGGGCCATGCCGCCGCGACGACAGCGCCGTGTCGTCGCGACGGCAGGGCCGTGTTGCCGCGACAGCAAGGCCGTGTCGCCGTCACGTCCCCCTCGGACAACAGGAAGCCGCGTGTTAAGGGGCGACCGACATCACAGGCTGATGGGAAACAGAAGGCGGCGAGAGTGGAGGAAATGGCGGCGGTAATCGGGATAGTGCTGCGTCCCAGCCGACCCCACGGGGCTGCGTGCCCCGCTGTTTTGCATGCAGCCTCCCAGTTTTATGTCCGTCATCACCGAGGGGTGCAAGCAAGTGGTATGCGGGCCGTATGTGGTAAGCTGGGCGTAAAACATGACCCACATGATATTTCGCCCATCATTTCTCACTGAAACACCCACTTTTCGTGGATGCGGTCGTAATAAAGCGGCTAGTAAATTAGCTGCGCCCATATGCCGTATTTGTACAGCTCTTCCATGGCCTTATCAGCAAGCAGCACATCCCGTTCAAATTTGCACACTACATATGCCTATAGGACCCGTTTATTTTTCATTAGTCTTCTCCTCTAGGTAATCCCTCCAGGCGCTATCTCCGACTCCCGTGTAGTATCGGCGCTGCCGTGCCGCAGGGATGACCTCATCGTCGCGGCATGTCCTCGGCCAGGCCACGGGACATGTGCCAGGGCCGGCGGCGCCAGGCCCGGTGACCGCGTGTGCCTGGTCCGACCCGCGCCAAGCCACGGGACATGTACCAGGGCCGGCGGCGCCAGGACCGGTGACCCCGTGTGTCTGGTCCGACCCGCACCAGGCCATGAGACATGTGCCAGGGCCGGCCCGCGCCAGGCCCGGTGACTCCGTGTGTCTTGTCCGGCCCGCGCCAGGCCACGGGACATGTACCAGGGCCGGCGGCGCCAGGACCGGTGACCCCGTGTGTCTTGTTCAGCCCGTGTGGAGGCGCTCAGCAGTGTCCGGGTGGAAGGGGGACGCCCCCTCCCCCCCCCCCGCTCACCGTGAGGGGGTGGTCTCTCCGCGCTGCCGGCGCCGGACCAGGTGGACCTTTGTGCGCAGGAGGTGTTGTATTAGTCAGCGGAGCGTTTATCAGCGCTTGTAACGGCCGCGGCGCTTGAGTCGCAGTCTCTTATCTGCTGTCACGATAGGAAAAGTCGGCGCTCGAGAACGCCAGACGTCACACATTTTGGTTGCAAGCATCGCGCGTATTCTAGGCTGGTGTTGGTTTGAACGTTCTGGGCTGTCATCGGTCCGACCATTCTGAAATGATGTATGTCTGACCGCTGCCGGCTTAAAGCAAGCAACGACGGACCGATTCACGCGGGCCGGCTGACAAACAACTCCCGGTTGGCCGTCTTCGTCATCAGCACATCAGCAGTGGTCTCGATGATCGGCGGCACACCGGTGGTCTGAGACCCGTCGGCCGCCGGCCCGCTCCGGGCGTCAGTCGCCGCGCCCCTAGCGACGCCGTCTTAGTCATCAGCACATTAGCAGTGGTCTCGATGATCAGCGGCACACCGGTGGTCTGAGACCCGTCGGCCGCCGGCCCGCTCCGGGCGTCGGTCGCCGCGCCCCTAGCGACGCCGTCTTAGTCATCAGCACATCAGCAGTGGTCTCGATGATCAGCGGCACACCGGTGGTCTGAGACCCGTCGGCCGCCGGCCCGCTCCGGGCGTCGGTCGCCGCGCTCCTAGTGACGCCGTCTTAGTCATCAGCACATCAGCAGTGGTCTCGATAATCAGCGGCACATCGGTGGTCTGAGACCCGTCGGCCGCCGGCCCGCTCCGGGCGTCGGTCGCCGCGCCCCTAGTGACGCCGTCTTAGTCATCAGCACATCAGCAGTGGTCTCGATGATCAGCGGCACACCGGTGGTCTGAGACACCGGTGGTCTGAGTCGCCGGACCGCTCCGGGCGTCGGTCGCCGCGCCCCTAGCGACGCCGTCAGCTGCCGACGGCCCGGTAATGGGCCGTCACACACGTGTGGCTGCAGGGTCGCTCGGCCCCGGCGCAGGAGCACGCTAGCCGCCACACATGCCCGTCTGAGGAGATCGTGCCCGCGCGAGCCACCTTGGGGCAGCGTCCGGCCCGGTGGCGGTGGCGGGCGCCGTCCGGCAGGGATGTAGCTGTGTAGGACGGGCGTCGGCGGGTGGCCGGCGATTGCAGTCGGCGTGGAAGCCGGCTGTTCGCTTGGTCAGGGCTTGAGGTTGAACGTCGCATGTCAGTGTATGGCACACGCAAAGTAGTCTGTCTGCATCGTTGCCCAGCGTTGTCTGGTATGTGCTAACATGGGCTTGTACTGGCCGCCTCCCTGCGGCTCTTTAGAACCAAGGCGCTTAGTAATCGGGACGGCAGTTCTCACAGAGGCCGCCGCACCCGCCGGGGCTTTATCGGTCCATTTCCGTCATGAAGACTCATCTCGCATTTAGGCCAAGTGGGTGCCTGCGGAGTGAGAGCGGTGGAGTGCGCAGGCAGTTCGGGCCCGCGGGCCTATTGTCCCAGCGACGGAAGCGGCTGCGGCTCCGGTGGAAACGGCTTTGTCGGGTTCGGGTTATGAGGCTGGGCCGTCGCCTCAGAGGCGGCGTTGTGCTCTGGTTCTCTGGTGACGAGTCAGGATCAGGTGCTGGTGATGTTCCAGAAGCCGCATTCCACTGCGAGGCCCAGCGAGGCGGTGACTGAGTGGTTTGTGGCGATGCCTGCATGCTTCCAGCGGATATTTGTGTGGCGGCAGCATGCATGCCTTAAGCGGACATCTGTATGTGGCGGCACTCTGTCCGCGTTCGGCGTGGTTTCGTCGACTTCGAAGCTCAGGGCGTTTGTTTGGGCAGGGTTCGGCGTTGGCCGCTGGTCGCCGCGGCAGAGCTCGGGACGCGCAGGCACCAGTGCACAGTGACGGTCGACGCCGTCACCAGGCCGAGACCGCAGGCATCAGTGCACAGTGACCGTCGACGCCGTCACCAGGCCGAGACGGAGCCGCTGTTGCCGACGTGGCGGCGCCAGATCTGCGGCCTGCGCCATGACTTGGACGCCCGGCTGGCGCGGGCGGCGGCCAGTGTGGCGGGCCTGAAATCACTGTCGCCGGGGCGACGAGCCCATCCCCGCGGCTGGCTACGTCCGCGCAGCCTCAGGCTGACGTGGTCAGGCTGCGCGGATGTCGGCCGTCCCCTCGCCCCCATGCGCAGCCGCCGGCACGAGCAGGGGGGAGAGGGGGGGGGGGGGGCAGGCCAGCATCGTCGGTCATTGTCGCCGTCAGAACTATGCAGCGCCAGCTGGGTACAGGACTGCTCGATCGGGTCATGGTCGCTGGCGTGGCACCACCCATCCAGCTTTCCAGGAACGCCCGCCCCCTCTCCCCCAACAATGCTGATCAACGAACGTCGTGGCTTTTTAGGCTGGAAGGCCGTGACTGCCGGACAGTTCTGTGTAGCTTCCGCTAGCATCTCAGGACGACGAATCACCGACCGCTACAAAAAGAAGTAAACACAAGTAGTTAACAGGTCTGGAAGAGAGCTTTTGCATTTCTGGATGCATCATGCATTGCTCACATCAAAGTTGTTTTTTTGGGTGGCGGT